TTCGTTAGGACAAGAAACGACTTATTTATCTAGCCACAATCCGACCCATCATGACGTACGCTTCGCCAGCATGGACTACCGCTACGAAGGGTGAAATCCAAAAATTACAAGTTGTGCAAAACCAATTTTTAAGAATTATCACAAATGCACACCCGTATGTGAAGAACAAACGTCTCCATGAAGATTTAAAAATGGATACAATAGTGGAATATTTAAGAAGAACTAACACGGCATTTTATGACGCCGCTAAGGAGTGCCAACATATGGACATTTTCAACCTATTTCACTATGAAATTTTACACGAGGACAGGCACCTCCGTCCATATGCCGCTTTTCTACTCAGTGGAAACCAGGATTTTCCAACATAATTTGTGTTTTTAAGTATGTAGTACTCTGAAAAACTTATTTGACTTGTAAATAATGATGTTTAGAAATCTTAGCCGGATGATCATGTGACACACACACAGCCATGCCCACAAGATATTACTTATATTTTTCCTGTATATACTATTTTACTTTTTGGAATCGTATTTTATTTTCTGCATTTATGACTGCAACACACACCTTTTATGAACTGATTTAGTACTATTTTATGTATTGTAAAACTTCAGATTTACAGCGCTACGATGCCTGGATACCTCATCGCCAACCAGATGTCTTATCGCTCATCACGTGACATTGGTCACACCCCCCTGCATCTGCTATCCTGTCTCCACGAGAACTACGTTCGGCATTTCCTTACCTGCAGCGCTCCTAGAAGCACCAAAGTTCGATAGCCGGAACACAACCTGCGATTTCGCAGGTTAATCGCGGCAAATAAAGCAAGTTGGAGTTGGAGTTGGTCCGTCTTTCATTATTCATTCATTCCGATTCGAGGGGTGGACGCCATAGGAGAAGGTTCGTCGTTGATATTGTGCCTGCCTCCGATATTGTATCACGTGTACGCCCTGTCCGATCTACGTGTGTTGCGGTGTGCGACCACGTGCAAACTCTTATCCGCATGCATCAACATTTTTAAATGCTAATCTTCGGTTTGTATTTATTTTTAAAAGCCTGGATGCTTTTATAATTTTATTATTTTGTATTATTTTAGGAATTTTCATGTTATTTTGCCTTTTCTTGCGTATTATGCCTAATTGCTGGTACGAGTGATACCGCGCTATTGTTACTGATTTTCTGCAATTTAACTTATTTATCAGATTTTAAATTAATTGCGTGCGCGTAATTAAATTTTTCGAATTTTGGTCGTTGTGTCTGCTTAGTTACCCCCAGGCTCACGCTGCCAGGTGTGAGATAGGGGCCTAGTAGACTTTCGCCCGCTCATCCGTCTGCCGGAACACCTTCGAGTGGGTCCGGTTCCGGGGCGCGGGACTCTGGACTGCTGATTGGGCGCAGGATTTCTTAATTCTGTATTGCGATTATGGATGCCGTGAGGGTACAGATTAGTGAACTTGATACCATCCGCCAGCAGAATGGTACACTCACTGATACTGAAAATAAGATGTACAATTTCTTACAAAGTATGATTGAAATGCTAGTTGCTGTTAACACAACAGGATAAAACTCAGGATAAATCCTCACAAGGTAAAAATCCAGATAATGATAGGGACAGAAGTCCTATTAAATTACACAACAACTTTGATACTCTAAATGAAATACCATTGGATCAGCCCACGAGCTCAGATGATGATTTACCAAAGACTAAAGGTGATCAAACAGTCAGAATTAGATCTCAAAGACAAAATTTTAAGAAAATTAAGCTTAGTAGTTCCCCTAAAAGTACTACACAAAAACAACAAAGTCAGGACAGTATCTCAGATACACCAGCTACTGAGGTAGCAGTTAATCAAAATACTCATACACAAATTAATGAGACAATGGATACCACCTCACCAGGATAACGAAAACCCCACTGACATGAATACAAATAAGCAAAAACAAAATAATAGGAATTCAAAAATTCCGCCAATTACTCTTAAAGAAAATAAATTGAAATGGAGTGAAATTCGATCTATCTTCCTTCAGCGAAAAATCAAATTTCACGGGGAGCATATTCCTACGGGAAGTATCAAAGTCATTACTGAAACACCTGACGATTATCGGACTGTAGTCCAAATACTTAAGGAAAAACAAGTAGAACACCATTCGTACATCCTTCCGGAAGACCGATATTTAAAAGTTGTCCTTCGAGGACTTACTGAACATACTCTGATCGATGATATCAAATCTGAACTTGAACAACTTGATTATCATATCAAAGATGTTAAAACAGATGACAAGACGGCGTAACGGAGAGGTTACCAAACTTCCTCTGTTTTTAATTTCGCTACCAAAAAGTGACAAGTCCAAGGAAATATACAATGAGAGATTTCTGTGTCACATGAAAATTAAGATCAAAGAGTATTTAGGTCGACAAGGACCCCTGCAATGTTTTCGTTGCCAGGGGTTTAATCATACACAAGCGGGCTGCAATTATGCACCCAAATGTGTCAGATGTGGCAAAGGACATTTTGTTAATGAATGCCCTGATAAAAATAACAATGACAAGCCTCCAGTCTGTGCTAATTGCGGGGGTTCCCACACTTCCAGTTTCAGGGGGTGTGAGAAATTCCCCAAAAGAAAATCTGAGAAACCAATCAATTTCCCCAGTAGGGTGACTGAAAATAAATCCTATTCGCAGGCGCTCTCCACAGGCCTATACTCTGATATATTAAGTGAAGCTAAACAAGTCTTCACGGGCCTTGCGGAACTTGTTTCCGTAATAAAAAATGCGGGATTTCAGATCTCGCAACAAGTCAAAGAAATAAAAGAAAATAACCAAGAGAAAAATACCTCTTCTACTATAGATAATGGGTCAAACTAGACCAACAAAAGTTCCCATCTCTATCATGACTTGGAATGCCCGTAGCATTCATTATAAGCTCACTGAACTGTCAAACTTCATCATGTGTCATAATATTGACGTGGCGCTCATTACTGAAACCTTCGCTACGCCAAGCACCCCGATGAAGATTCCTAATTATTTATGTTATCGATGCGACCGTCTAAGTCACCGAGGTGGGGGGGGGTCGCGATTTTTGTACGCAACTCTCTCTAATCTTGTCTGATCTGCGAAGAGCGATATAATGGGCATGAAATTGTGACTGTGTCTGTATTTCTGCCGCATTATGGTAACGTATACTTCACTTCTATGTACAATCCTCCACAGAATATGCTTGATATAAATTACCTCGCAAAAATACTTGACGTCAATAAACAAGTCATCCTTGCAGGGGATTTAAATGCCAAAAGTCAGGAATGGAATTGCAGGAGAACAAATAAAAATGGAATCAAGCTTTCCGAATTCATTAATAATCACCCTATTTATTTTCATGTACCAAGCGAGTACACGTATTTGCCGAATAATCCCAATACAGGTGACATTTTGGATATTTTCATTTCGACCATCTCCCTCTCTTTCAATCTAGAGGTGATTCAAGATTTAGATTCAGACCACTGCCCGGTCATTGCGACCCTAGGTACAAACAAAGATATTATGGATGAACAAATTAATTCAACTAACTGGAAAGTTTTCAATGAAATTCTCTCAGAATGTAAAACTAACAGTATTTTACGCACTCCGGAGGATATTGAGATTGCGACCAAGCATCTTACAAATGACATACAAAGTGCCTACCATGCGGCCACGAGAAAAATTCCTAGAAGACAGGTTACTAATAAGTTACCACAAAGGATTAAAAGTCTCATCAGAGATCGAAATAAGCTCAGGAAAAAAAGGTATCATCTCACTTGCAATCCTGATACCAAAAAAGAGATGAATAGACTTGGTAAGGAAATTAAAAAAACAGATAAACTCCCACCGTAAAGAGCTCTGGGATGAGAAAATTGAGAGTTTTAACGAGCCTAGTAGCTCATTCTGGTCGTTTGTAAAACGTCTTAAAAATAAACCCACAGTTAATAGGCCGATTTACCATGAGCATGGCATTGCGCTCACAAATATTGAAAAATGCAATACGCTCGCTGAGCACTTTGAAAAACAATTCATCACAAACACTTATCCATGCAATCAGGATTTTACAACTCATGTGAACTCCACAGTGTCAGAATGGCTTTGCAAAAATAACCTGCAAAATCACTTAGAACTTACCTCACCACAAGAAATCATGAATATAATTAAAAAGCTCAGGAATAGAAAGGCCCCCGGGCAGGATAATGTTAATAATGTAGCACTGAAATGGCTGCCAATAAATATGATTAATCGACTTACAGGTATTCTGAATGCTTGCCTGTACAATAGTTATAATATATGGAAGTCTGCTAAAATGATAGTGATACCAAAGCCGGGAAAGAATCTGACGAAAACGGATGGGTACAGGCCCATTAGCCTACTGCCCAGTATGGGAAAAATACTTGAAAGAATTGTCCTCAGCAGAATACAACCACAACTGGATAAATTACCACTTGAACAGTTTGGATTCAGGAAAGCCCTATCCACGACAAAACAACTGGTTAGACTTAATGAATTCATAGGTAGTGCAGTGCACAACAAAAGATATGTTGCCTTACTCATGCTAGACGTGGCGAAGGCGTTCGACCGCGTCTGGCATGAGGGGTTAATTTATAAATTAATCAGTCTGCAGTTCAGCACTGAGTTAATCAAAATTATTCACTCGTTTCTTTCAAACAGAACATTCAGTATTCACATTGATGATAGCACCTCAGATAAGAAGCAAGTACAGGCCGGGGTCCCTCAAGGATCTATTTTAGGGCCCGTGCTCTATTTATTCTACGTGGCAGATCTACCTGCAGAACATCTAGATCCAAATTTTTTCATGGGCTGCTACGCAGACGACACAGCTTTTGCCGTCAAGTCTGGGTCACCAAATTTTGCGATTAAGAAACTTCAAAAATTTATGCCGAAACTTGAAACCTGGTGTGCAAATTGGAAAATTGCAATTAATGCAGATAAATCTAAGCTTATGATTTTTAAAAAGAACAAAATGAATCACCCATTAACTGCACAACTGTTGTTATTTGATACTGTTGTACCAGTTGTAAAAACTGCTACTTACTTAGGTCTAAAATATAGTGCTAATTTCCTTTGGAAAGAGCATGTAAAATGTGTCAGAGGTAAGACTATTGGAGTAATTCAAAGTCTCAAGCCGCTCCTGTCTGCGACCTCCAAATTAGACATCAAGAGGAAGAGACATATTTATAACTCCATTATACGTCTCATTTTTGCGTACGCTTCTCCGGCCTGGGCAACAGTTCAGAAAAAGGAGTTGAACACGCTACAAATTATTCAAAATAAAGTGCTTAGAAATGATTACAAATGCTCACTACTATGTCTCAAATCAAACCCTGCACAATGATCTAAAAATGGAATCTGTAGAAACATATCTACACAAAGCAAATGATAAATTCTTCAATAAAGCACAAGAATGCAACCATATGACCGATTTAAATGTATTAGATTATGTTATTCTCGAAGAAGATGCTGCACTTAGACCGCTCGCGGCCCACCTCGCCAGTGACTTAAATTTTCCCACATAAAATTATCATGATGGGAATGCACAGTGCCTGTTTATATTGTATATAGTGTATAGTGTATTTTATTTTATTTTATTTCTCACTTTTTATATTGTATGCTTAGTTTGTATGTTCTTTTCACTTGTTTTTATATAATAATGTATGCTCATGTTTAATTATTATGATTTATGTTAATTCAGATATCATGATTGAATCTATTGGATTATGTCTGTGACTTCTTTTAAGATACAACGCAAACATATCATACAGTCCCTCACGGCTCCTGCTTTGCAAACTTCTGGATGCGCGCGCCATTCTTTGGCCTTGCGACTCATGGTCGCCCCCTGTTGCCACCTTTGACCTCCTTGGAACTTGTTATGAAAAATTCAAAGTCTTGCGCCCTTCGGGCTTAATTTTCAAGAGCCGGATAAGTTGCGCAGCTGCGCGACACTTCGGCAATAACCGTGCAGACTAGACTAGGTCCGTCTTTCTACGGACCTTGCATGTAGCTAACCAGGCCATGTTATATCCAGTTTGGCCGTGGATAATTTTGGTTATTGGGTCGGTTTGGAATTTGCGACAAAAAACTTCTATCTGCGATATGCTATCTGCGAGGAAAAAAATGTACTGCAATTTTGAATCAAACTATTAATTATGTAGGCTATGTACTAGTAATTAATTACGTACAAAGTACCAAGATGTTCAGCCATCGCGAATCTAACGTTGAGCTAACCGTTCATATTCCGCGAAATAGCTAGTCTATCACTGAATGGATGAGCCGTGGTTAAGAATCAATCAAACAAATTTTTAAAAAAAATTGAAATATGTATAAAAGCAACCAGGAGATGTCACTGAATTCAATAAACTATAGTCTGAAAATGCTATGAGAATCTGTTACTTTAGAATAAGCATTTCAAACCCATTTCCCCCCAAAACCATCGCTAGTTACCATACGGCAACGACTAATGCGGAAAAAAGATGGAATATTCTGATTTGCTAAAATCCCCTAACTATGTTTGTGTGGTGATGACGTCACAGGTTACGATCGTAAATGAAAGGAGTTTCACTGCGACCTTAAAGTGCCTATTTAAAGTATCAGACTGAGTCCTGTTATTACAAAATGGGAACTTCAAGGTTATTTTTCATCGTTCAGTTTGATTTGTAACCATGAGAACAACAGCTGCGAAAAAAAAAAAAAAAAAAAAGGTCAAGTTGCTTAATCCTTTCCCCTTCTCCCAATTTATTTCCGTTTCGATACATACTAAGCAAACGATTGAAGGCGACTTCAACTAAAGCCTCGAATAAAGCGGGGAAAATAAATGCTGTGCTGCGACGACACGAATTACGATCGCAGATGGGATGGGATCTGGGACTGGAAACGATCTTTAAGTGGCTGTTTTCAAGTAACATTCTATAATTTTTGTTTCCTTCAGTTAGAAATCTTTCAAAGAAAAAGCCCACAAAAATGTTCAAAAAGTTGAGGGGGTATTTTTAAATTTTACTTTTCGAAGCAAAATAACAGTCAAAGTGCATAAAACAAAAACAGAGACACAGAATTATCGAACATAAGAACAAGTAAAGAAACTAGAATTAATACAATAACTAATAAACAGACTAATAAACTGGAATAACAGTATAGCAAACCTTTGCTTAACGCGATTTTGCGTGAACAGATTATCTTGATTGCCTCCATTTAATTTGTCCAAATCGATAATTTAAATTATATGCTGAGTTACGATAGTCCTTTCTAATGGCTAGTTTGAATATTCATTCATTCAAGAAGTCAAACATTGCTTAGAATAGCAAAACTTGAGCTTAAAATTCTGCTAACTCTCGGTGATGTTCCAGGATACGGTGTTGAAGCAACATCGCATCCAAATGTAGAGGTTCTATTCATTCCACCCAGCACCACTTTTTTAATCCAGCCAATGGATTAAGGAAAACATAAACAAAGCCAATTATGTCAAGCAAGTTTATATCTCTGCAAATAAAGCACTTGACAAAGAAAAGCACGACAAACTAATGACATTTTCGAAGCAATTCAGTATGAAACATTGCATAGAAATTATTACTCGCATAAGTGAATTCATCAACAATGAATGCTTGCTAGCATTAGCTTTGGTCAGAAGAATGTCATACTCGTTTCGTTTTAATGCGAAATTTTGTTTATTAAGCAATTTAACAACAGAGAATAATAAGATTAAACAATTATTATACGCACAAATCAGTTTTTATGCAAATTAAGAATTATTAAATTATTTTGAAATATATAAAGAGAAATTAAATGACCATGTAATAAAATGAACGTCATATTTTTAATAGTTCTTTCCCCCCCTCCCTTAGCTTGCTTGTCTGTGTGATGTATGGGAGTACGTGTAAAGGAATCTGTGTAAAAAGTAAAGCGCTTTAATGATTTGATTATTCTCTATACATTATTACGCATATAAATTAGAAGAAAAAATTTCATCCGATAAAATTTATCTGTTGCAAATTTAAATTTAATGGATTATACAGAAAATTACATTCACACAAGATTAAAATGAAATAATTTTACCGTTAAAAAAAAAAAGTAAATATGGACTTTTATGCAAAAAGTGTCAAAATGTTGAAGCATAACATTTTGATTTTTAGTGCTTGTAAGTGATTTCTCATTTTTATAAATTGAAAGACCATCAATTTCTGTATAAATTATTTTAAATAATATTTCTGAATTAATATGCCTGTAATTAAAGTAAAACACAACTCCGCTAAAATGTTCATGCCCTGTGTGTATCAGATGTGATGATGTGAATAGCAGTTTTTTCATTTGCATTCATTCTATAAAAAGTTTTCTTAGGGAAAATGTTGCTATAATTCTTTAAATATTTTTCTTTTCATTAAGCGTGCACGATATTCAGGGGTTAATTGAAAACTTTAAGTAGTTTTCTCGTAATTATAGTAATAATATTCTTTATTCTAAACATTCAGGGATTAAATTCATTACTTATCCTATCAAAATGTGTTTTTTATTGTCTCTTATTGACACTAAATGTCATCGTAGGCTTAAAACAGAATAGTTATCATCAGTTGGAAGTTGACGGCCTCGATGTTGCCAAATTAATATGTAAATAATTTTATTATTGGTTTACATTTTTTAATTTAGAACGAGGTTCAAACTTTGGGCAGATTATGTAAAATTATGAACAGAATAAATAAAATATGTGAGGAGTTAAAAATAAAGAGATAATTTATACAAGAGGTTCAGATGTATCCTTACATAATGGGTTAATGGTTTCTACGTGCAGTGCACAGTACACATTTTTAAACCAGAATTGGAAACCGTAATAATAATAGATCAAATAAGAATAAAATGATTCGTGATTAAATTTAAGAAACACGTTTCAAAATGAGAAAAACTAGCGATAAACCGAAGTTCGAGGGTCTGAACTTAAGACCTCCCTTCCCCTCGCAATTCAGCGAGCTGACCACTCAGCTAACTGTGGCAATCGCTCTCAGGAAAACAATGGAGCAATTAGAAGTCACTCCAACGGTAATTTAAATTAATATTCAATAACTGAGTGTCATATGGCCGAGGTTTTAACTGTCGTAGCTGTATTTTATTGTATATACTTTCACAGTCAACTGTTTTATTTCAGAAATTGTTATTTTGTAGTTAGTTTGTGATGTATTTGATATTGAGATACTTACAGAGCTTCTTGTTACACATGAAATAGGGAACATTTGTAATAATTAAGGAGAATTTTGTAAGGTAGACAATTTGATTTCGTAGAAACTGTAATTTATTTAGGTTCCTACTGCTTACAGTATTACATGCATGTGAAGTATATGGATATACTGGACGGATTATAGGTTTATAAATATGCAGGTTTTTCCCTTTAATAAAGATTTGAAATTTCTTCCAATATATATGATTTGAGAGAACTGAGGATGCCGTAAGCAATGCTGATGATTTATTGCTATGGACATTTACGATCTCTTTAAACAGAAACCCACCGCTTTGTGGCTCCTACGCCACACTGAAAACTGTAAACAAGAAATTCTTTCTGGTTATGACACTTAATAAGAACACAGTCAGTGACTAGCTGTTCGTTCACATCGCGGACGAAAGAGCTGAACACGAGTGAACTCAGATTCACTTCCTCTGACGAGGTACAAATTTTCGCCTTTCAAAACAATAAGGAGCGTACTCGTGTGGTCGGACCTTTAGGAGGCACCGGCGGCCACCTATTACGTACCTCCACAATAAGACGGCCACCACTTCTGGCCTTAGGACTGGCCAATGCTGGATAGGCAAGTGCCCGCCATTGAAAAAAAGAAAAGTATATATCAGGTTACATTTATAAAGGAAACATCGATAAGTAATTGGTATTTTGTCATCCTTTGGAAGAATATGCGAGAAAGGAAGACATAATGTTGATGAATTTTTATAAACTAAAAGTTAATCATGGAAAAGTAACACTGAAGTATGCAGAATGGTGAAAAAGCGAGGACATGCAAAAATATTGGTTTTAAATCATTTGTTAAAGCTGTTGGTAATGACGATACAACTTTTACCCATTTCCTGATTCACTGAAAGGCTTTTACTTCATAAATAAATACAC